TGTGCTGTATAATAGCAATTTACTTATGTATGTGCGCATTAACTGCAAGTATGCTATTGAAAGGGGCTGCAATCCACAAAATACAAGCCATTTTGTGAATGGATTAGGGGAGAGGAAATGGAGTGTAAGTGACATGATCCCTGCACTGTACAAAAGCCAGAATTCTCTTTTGTGATGCCAGAAGAAGATCGCTGTACGTAACATCCTGCACAAATAAAACTGTTTCTGTAGTAACCAGCAGTGGACTTTTCAAAAAGAAAAAAATCCCATGGACTTCCACTTTAAATGCAGGGGAGATCACCTGTTGCCTTTTCATCTTTGGGCTCAGAAAACAGCCAGGTCATAATGGGGGAGGAATGCCTTTTTAATTGTAAAACAAATTCACTGTATCAACTTGTTTTGACCCTTTGATTGCCATGACGTATGGTATGTGTTCATATTGATTATCTGATTGAATACTAGTTAAAAATGTAATAAGGACTGCACAGGAAAAGACCTTTTTTGGATTTGTATCTTTTTTGTTCGCTTTTTAGCTTCGTTTTCTAGCATGCTATCAAACAACAATCGGTGTTTTGGTCTAAGAACTGTCTTGCATTCATGTAAACCCAAACGACCTAGTTCTTTTTCAGAAAGATTTGAATGTTTTATGGCAAGTTTTTTATATAAAGTCAGGACTGGATGAAAAAAATGTATATCTTGTGGTTTTAATGTTTCAATCTAGGTTTAAGGCCTCATAATGTAATTGCTGCAAATTTGATACATTTTTGGGCTGCACACTCATTTGACCCTCAAGAACTCTTTGTGTGTACTTATCAATAATGATACACCTAGAGGTGTGTTTATAAATAATTTATATAGATTTTCCTCCATAGAAGCTTCATATAAATTCATTTTGTGTGAATGGGGCAAAAAATTAAACAAGCAGTTCTTTTTTTTTTTTTTTTTTTTTTTTTTGTAAAACAAAGATGTTGTTATTGCTCTGTGCAGTGGTTTTCCACAGTGCAGCCTGGATCCTCATCTTCTTGGGTCCCCTGTTGGCGCTCCTGGCTCCCAGCTTGCTATGGGGGCACCCGAGCAGACGTGTTCCCAAGCCACTGCTCCGTGTGTTCATTCACAGGGAGCCATGTCTTGGCTCCGCCCCTCTCATTGGCTGACTGGCTGTGATTGACAGCATCAGGAGCCAATAGCTCCCGCTTTCTGTCTCAGCCAATGAGGAGGTAGAGACCCAGGACAGATGGGGCTCAGGTAAGTATTTGGGAATGCATGAAGGCAAAAAACCTTGAGCCTATACAACCACTTCAATGTTCTAAGGCTATGTTCTCTACAGATCCAACATGTGTGAGAATATATATATATATATATATATATATATATATATATATATATATATATATATATATATGAGATTTATTATATATAAATTATTTATTTCAGACACCAAAACATATCTGCCGAAAATAGCCCTATTGGCATTCTGCCGATAGGAAAAATTTTTTGCCGATACAGGAGACTGTGTATACTGCAGATGGGGGGTGGCAGAGAAAGGCAGGAGAGGAGTTGTGTATACAGAGACTGGCTGTCACTATGTCAGTGACCATAGTGACCATTTTTAAATGTAATTACCGGCCTTTTTTTTTTTCCTTTCACTATAGCTCACAGAATTAGCGGTCACTTTCCTCCCTGCCAAAAGAAACAATGTTTCCTTTTAGGTTCTTTCCAGAGATAAAAGTAACAGTTTCCTTTAGCTCAGGGGAAAGTGACAGCTAATTCTGTGAGCTATAGTGAAGAAGAAAAAAAAGCCAGCAAGTGCATTTAAAAATCGACATCGACATATAGTGACAGCCAGTGAGGGGGCCTCTCCGTATACACTGCTCCTCTCATGCCCCCTCCTGGCACACACTGCCCCCAACCCCCTACAAAGAGGACCTGTCACTCATATGCTATCACATAGGGGACTATTGGTCCCCTATGTGATAGCAATGAAATCATAAGTTAAAAAAAAATATATACATGAAAATAGATTAAAAAAAAAAGTTTGGAGCCTCCTCACATACGCAGACATTTCGGTTCTTGCCACATGCATTCTGAATTTTCGGTATTGACACCAGAATTTTAATTTCGTTGTAACACACACACACACACCAGGGGTGTGGAAATTTTTTAAAAAAGCTACTTAAAAATAGGGGCCCCCAATCTACTTGTCCCTCATGACAATCTACTTGTCCAGATTTAAAAAAAAAATGTTTTAACCAAAACCGTATTTTTTTTAAATTCCAGATTTTCCATATTATTATTATTATTACAGGATTTATATAGCATCAACAGTTTGCGCAGCACTTTACAAAAGGAAGGTAGACATAGCAGGTACAATACAATTTGGTACCAGAGGAAACAGAGCTCCCTGCTTGTTAGAGCTTACAATCTAAGAGGAAGGGTTGAGTGATACAAAAGGCAATAGCTGTGAGGGATGAGCTGATGGAGGAAATAAAAGGCAGTTTCCTAGTTAGAAGCAGGATAGACTTCATTAAATAGAGAGGTTTTCAGGGATCATCTAAAGGTGGGTTGATTAGGCGATAGCCGGACAGATTGGGGTTGGGAGTTTCATAGGATGGGAGAAGCTCAGGAGAAGTCCTGGAGGCGGGCATGGGAGGAGGTGACATGGGAACTAGAGAGCAGAAGGTCTTGGGAGGATATCCTATTTTGAGACCAGGTTGGTGATGTAGCTGGAGGTAGAGCTGTGTATGGCTTTGTAAGTTGTTAGAATTTTTTTTTTCTTTGGGCGAGTGGAAGCCAGTGGGGGGATTGGCAGAGAGGGGTAGCAGACACTGCACGGTTGGTAAGGTGGATGAGCCTGGCAGCAGCATTCATGATGGACTGGAAGGGGGATAGCCTATGTAATGGTAAGCCAATGAGGAGGGAGTTGCAGTAGTCGAGGATGTGTGCCTGAAAGGATAGTTCAGAATCCAGGTGTACCCCTGCCATACGGGGATGGTTGATAGTGGTGCTATTGATCCTGACAGAGAAATCGGGGGAAGAGGCACGTGGTGAAGGAAATATTATGAGCTCAGTTTTGGATAGATTGAGTTTTAGGAAGTGGTGTGACAACCAGTCTGATATGTTTGTTAGTAAATTGGTTATACGTGAGGAAACCGATTGGGTGAGCTGAGGAGTAGAGAGATAGATTTGTGTCTCATCAGCATAGAAATGGTGTTGGAGACCATGGGAAGCTATCAGCTGACCCAAGGAAGAAGTGTAGATCAAGAATAGGAGAGGTCCAAGGACAGAACCTTGGGAGATCCTGACGGTAAAAGGAATAGGAAAGGAAGAAGTAGAGTTGTAAGTGACACTGAAGGCATGGTGAGATAGGTAAGATTCGCACCAATGGGGAGAGTACAGTCACGGAGGCCAAGTAAATAGTTTTTTGAGGAAGATGGTCAACTTTGTCAAAGACAGCAGAGAGACCCAGAGTAAGAGTACAGAATAGTGACCATTGGTTTTAGCTGTAAGTAGTTTGTGAGTTTTAGGAGAGCAGTTTCTGCGGAGTGATGTGGGCGAAACCTAGACTGAAGGGGATCAAGAAGGTTATTCTCAATGAGGTGGTAGCTCAGCCGGTTGTAAACCTAGACATTCAAGGAGTTTGGAGGCAAAAGGGAGTAAGGAGATGGGTCTTGGGTTGCTAAGATTGGTGGGGTCCAGTGAGGCATGTATGGGGGTGACTAGCGCATGTTTTAGAGAGTTGGGGAAGATGCTATTAGAAAGGGAGAGATTGAAGATCTGAGTTAGAGTGAAGGATAGAACAAGACGGTGACCGTAGTAGTTGCAATGGAACAGGGGACAAGTGGTTATACCATACTTGTGGGATCCCTCTAGACCACAGGTGTCAAATTGGCTGCGCTCCAGCTGTAGTTGTGGAACTACAAGTCCCATGAGGCATTGCAAGGCTGACCGTTAACAATCACAGGTAGAGGCATAATGGCACTTGTAGTAGTTCAGCAACAGTTGGAGGGCCATCAGTTTGACACCCCTGCTCTAAATGCAGGAAACCACAGAAGTAGACATTGCTACACCAGGGATCTCCACCTGCTTTCTGGTCACATGCCGAGCGGCTGGCCTGCTGCATTCTGAATGGAGAAGATTGGCCTTTTGGCATGGGCACCAATCCAGGAACCCTTTTTGCATTTTCTCAATAAAGTCAAAGCATTATAATTGGATGCAGTGGATAGGCTGAGTGGTGCCATCGCATTGTCCACCTAGAATTCTTCCTTAAGTCCACATAATTTATTTTTTCTTTTTCGGCATACTTTTTTGTATAGTCAGGGTGGTGATCCTTTAGTTTTTACTTATTGTTTTAGAGATAGGGAGCTATAGTTCAAACTTCCAAATGTACAAGTCAGTGATCACTTGTACACATGAATTTAGTACTCGGTCAACTCCCAGCAGTGAGAGACATGCTTTGTACTGATACAGATGCCAGCCCCCTTTTAACACCACTCTGTGCTGGTCTTTCCATTAAATATGTTTGGGTGTGCCAAGCACTCTTGTTTATGTCTGTGCATTGGTGAGGGGTGGCCAGACATTATTGGCCATATAGGCTGCTGCTTATATGTATTGAGGAGGGCTTGTACAATCTGTATTTTAACAAATATACATTTATACTGAGCACAACATATATAAATATTACTTCACATAGTAGGCAACATTGTGTTGTGTAATTGTTTTGTGCATGCTTATATTAAAATTCAGAAGAGAAATGTAGGAATGCATAAAATCAGGGTCATCTCCAGGAAGGGCTATAAACCATTTTTGAGCTACTTTTTTTTACTGCCAGGCTTCCACCCTTTGGAGGGAATGGAATTTTTAACATCAACAGCAAGCAGCTGAGTCCCACCTATCATTAGTGACGTATTTTCTACTCCACAGCCTTAGTTGGAATCTGTGCTGAGGAATGTGGGCAGCGCTGTAATGTATCCTTGTATGAGTCACTGTGTCAGTCTGACACTGGAGTAGCCTGGAGTACAGTGTGGAACACTTGTTCTTGCCTGGATGAGCCCTGTATTACATCTAACTGTGGATTTGTAAAAATGATGGAAGTTCAGTCCAGGTTACACCCTGATATTCCAGAGAATGGGGAGCTGCCTCCTATGGAAGTCAATAGCAATTGTGTCCCTCAGGAGAGCGGTGGAGAGGATGAAAAACCAGTCTCAAATCTGCAGAGGAGACGCAGTGATGTCAAAGTATACAAAGAAATTTGTGACTTCTATGCTCGATTGTAAGTGGAAATTTTTTCTTCCTTGGATTTCTAAAAGGAATATTTGTTGTAATCAACTGATGAGTTCTGTTGGATGATGGGATGTGTAGGTGGAGCATTTGGGTCAAGTTTTCAGTTTGAGAAGAGCTTTATAGCGAAGCTAAGTCTATTTTGCTAGTAAAAAATGTTTGTGTAAAGAATTGCTCTGCAAAAGAAAATTCCATCCCATGGTAGCATTTTAAACTGTTTACAGAGAAGACTGCTAAAAATGCACAAAGTAATCTTTATGGAAGTCATTGAGGGAAAAATGCTTTGCATGCCATGGATGTTTAGTTTACATGGCTTGTATAGCTGTGGTTTTAGGTCTTTATACTATGTGAAGTACAGTTTGAGACCTAAAGAAGAGAAATTAAAGTTTCCTGGTTTGTCACTTTTTAAACAAATGAAAAGGATGATTCGCCTGTTTCAGTATCCAAAGTTTTTTGTGTGTGTGTGTGTTTTTTTTTTTATTGTTTTTTTTTTTTTTTTTTTTGTGTGGCATCTTTGCTTACAGTGCAGCATTTGCTTTTTATTTTCCTGCTTGCAATTCTGCCATGGTTTTGTACTTCTTTTTTATGGTTATGTCACTGTTTGCTTTACAATAACTCTTCAAGTGTGGTGTAAACTGAAAAGGAAATATTAGGATTTTTATTCATAGATTTGAAAAGAATGTTAAACACATTTGCATAAGCTGGCGATGTATTCTTGCCAGGATGAATCTTGGGAGGAGTTGTGCAAATACCAAAATGCCTGGATGGTTGGAGATCAGTCTGAAAAAGTGGGTGTTCTTAGGCATGTTATATTTGCATGGAAACTGCCTGTGGTGCTGAGCCTCCATGATGGCAAGAGTTGAAATACAGTAAATGAAAGGGACAGGGGCAGTAAGACTAGGGAGGAAAGTGCTAGATTATGCTTGACATCCTCCAGCCAGGAAATGAGATGGGCTGTATTTGACTTTCTGCATCAATATGTAATGAGATTTAGGCTGACCATACATTATTCATTTTCTTGAGATTTTTGCTTTAGATTTACCAAAAATCATATAATAGGAGGTCAAACCCAAACAACACTTTCAGTTGTATCCAATTAGGCAGGCCCTTGCACTACACAGTTGAAGGTAAATCTAAAGGAAATTGGACAGAAAATTGTATAATGTATGGCCAGCCTTAGAGTACGTTCAGTGCAAAGGAGGAGTCTATGCAACTGTGCAAGGCTAAAGTTAGGCCCGAGTTCAGCTTTAAAGTACATGAAGGCAGAAGGATGAACAAATGCTCACGTTGTTGCAGTATCCACACCGGTGTCCGCACTGGTGAGATTCACTTTATTTGTCTTGGTGACCACTGTTACCAGTGCTGAAAGTGAAGGAAAGCCAAAAATGTGAATTGTCACCAGAGCAGAAGGGAGAGTCTTTCGATGGGGACTTTTTCTTTTTTTTTTGGTGACCGTTGTCCAAGAGAGGATTTTACTCAGCTTTGAGAGGTTTCCTCTTATGTCTTCAGGACAAGACATGAGAGGAAATTTCTCAAAAAAGAGGGAAATACTATCCAAGATGGCTGTCACTGGAACAAGTGTCCACATTGAAGTATTTTCCCCTTTATTCTTGTTCTGGAGGTAACTTGGTATTTTGGAATGTCCCTTGCTTTCAGTCATGGTGAGAATAGTCACTATAATAGAGAGGGTGAATCTCAAAACCGGGATACAAACAGCAATATCTACCCAACATGGGTACATGAACCTGTTCTTGCATAGGTGAAAAGTTTTGGGGTTTTTATTTGTTTTTTTTTTTTTTTAAGGTAAAAAAAACAACAGGTTTTTAGATACATTCACACCAGATGTGGTGGGACTGTTTTGGGCAGATATTCCAGCCCAGTCCCTCAACATGACAAGGTAAAATGCCTGGTCTCTGGTGTGACAGATGGTGTGCGCTGAAAAAAGTACTGTGTTGCAGTACAGCCCAGGCCAAAAGTTTTGAGAATTGCACAAGTGTTAATTTTCAAGAAGTCTGCTGCCTCAGTTTTTATGATGGCAATGGCTGATATACTCCAAAATGTTATGAAGAGTGATCAGATGAATTGCATTTAATTGCAAAGTTCCTCTTTGCCATGAAAATTAACTTCATCTCAAGAAAAACATTTCTACTGCATTTCAGCCCTGCCGCAAAAGGACTAGCTGACGACATGTCAGTGATTCTCTTGTTAACACAGATGTCGGTATTGACGAGGGCAAGGCTGGAGATCACTCTGTTATTCTAGTCCGCATGACAGACTGGAAACTTTAAAAGGAGGGTGGTGCTTGAAATCTTTGTTCTTCCTCTGTTAACCATGGTTACCTGCAAGGATACACGTACAGTCATCATTGCTTTGCACAAAAAGGGATTCACAGGCAAGGATAATCCTGCTACTAATATTGCACCTAAATCAACCATTTATCGGATCATCAAGAACTTCCAAGGAGAGAGGTTCAATTGTTGTGAAGAAGGCTTTAGGGTGCCCAAGAAAGTCCAGCAAGCACCAGGGCCATCTCTTAAAGTTGATTCAGCTGCGGGATCGGGGGATCATCAGTGCAGATCTTGCTTAGGAATGGCAGCAGGCAGATGTAAGTGCATCTGCACGCACAGCGAAGCAAAGACTTTTGGAGGATGGCAAGGTGTCAAGAAGGGAAGAAAAGAAGCCACTTCTCTTCAGGAAAAAAACATCAGAGACAGACTGATATTCTGCAAAAGGTACAGGGTTTGGACTTCTGAGGACTGGGGGGTAAAGTCATTTTCTCTGAAGAATCCCCTTTCCGATTGTTTGGGGCATCCGGAAAATACCTTGTCTGGAGGAGAAAGGGTGAGCGATACCATCAGTCCTGTGTCACGCCAACAGTAAAGCATCCTGAGACCGTTCATGTGTGGAGTTGCTTCTCAGCCAAGGGAATGGGCTCACTCTCAATTTTGCTTAAGAACACAGCCATGAATAAAGAATGGTACAAAAACATCCTCCGAGAGCAACTTCTCCCAACTGTCCAAGAACAATTTGGTGACGAACAATGCCTTTTCCAGCATGATTGAGCACTTTGCCATAAGGCAAAAGTGATACCTAAGTGGTTTGGTGAACTAAACATTGAAATTTTGTGTCTGTGTCCTGGAAACTCCCCAGACCTTAATCCCATTGAGAACTTGCAGTCAATCTTCAAGAGGTGGGTGAACAAAAAACCCCCCACAAATTCTGACAAACTCCAAGCATTGATTATGCAAGGATTGGCTGCCATCAGTCAGGATGTGGCCCAGAAGCTGATTGACAGCATGCCAAGGCGAATTTCAGAGGTCTTGAAAAAGAAGGGTCAACCCTGCAAATATTGACTCCTTGCATAAACCTAATGTAATTTTCAATAAAATCCTTTGACACTTATACTTCAGTATACCATTGTAACATCTGACGACAAGATCTAGCTGACTTTGTGAAAATTATTTTTTGTGTCATTCTCAAAACTTTTGGCCAGGGCTGTACTTTTCTCCACCACAGTTCGGTGTGTGGCAATCCACTGCTTCGCACTGACTAGTCAACAAATCTGCATGTTTACTGATGGAAGTCGGTTGCGAGTCCTAGCAGTTTCATAGCTGGCTTCCTACTGCGCATGCATGAGCCGTGCTGCGCTTTTGTGAATGTGTTGTAATGAAGTAGCTGGTGTGAATTAGCCCTAAAGCTTAAACCTGAGTGGTTGTTCTTGGTGGCTGCCCTATGCTTATTATTCCTTTTGCACTGCTTTATTAAAAATATCCATTTGAATATTGGTTTGCATTCTCAAAGGGTTGGCACCCAAACTTTGGCATATGAAAATGCACCATGTGTATTAGTCACAACTGTTCATAGAAGTACTTCATTGAACTAAAGCCTAGTACACAAAATTAGAAAATCGTACCAAAAATACTGCTTTCGAAGCGATCGTACAATAATCTGATTTGTTAGTACACAGCTTTTGTCCGAAATTATTTGAAGGGACACGCATGAGAATTTTTTCTCGTACGATACCAAATCATACAATTTTTGTTTAACCTCCCTGGCGGTATTCCCGAGTGTAGCTCGGGGTAAAGTTTCAGCACCACAAGCGGTAACCCTGACCTACACTCAGGAATACCTTGCAGCTCCGGGATCTCTTCTCCACTTACCTTGTCCTGCGCTCCCGCGATGTCCCCCCTGCAGTGCCTCCAGCAATGTCTTCCGGCGGATGCCGGCATCTGTCTTCTGGGTTCCGTCCCCTGCAACGTCGGGACGTACGGGGACGGAACTGGTGGGAAATTTGAAAGTTGTAAAAGTGACATTCACTAAATACACTAAAATCGCATAGTAAAACATTACTGTATCAAAGCATTTCACAGCGAGTGCTTTGTCCTGTGCCCTGCCTGCATTTTTACTGTTCTTTCTACCTGGAAACTGAAAAATGTCCATGGCATCCAAAAAGCGTCCCTTTACGTCAAAATCGGTTTTATACCAGCTAGAGAACAGCGATAGTAAATTAGAACTACTTGCAGAATTGAGTGATAATGATTCGTGGGGAAATTCGTCATCAGACACTGAAAACGATTTTGCGACTTTACTGAGTGATGTTCGAACTTGGCGCTATATTTCAAATTTCAGTGTTTTTGGTTTGATTATATTATTGAATTAAATTTATTATTATATTATTATTTTTTTTATGATTATTTATTAAATTATAATTTCTGATTTTGTGTTTCAAATTGTAACATACCCGGAATGTTTACTAGACTCTTGTTTGGACAGATTTCAGTGGGTTATTCCTAAAAATTACAGGCCCACATAAAAAAAAAAAAAAAAAAAAAATAAAAATAATAATATATAATATATATATATATATATATATATATATATATATATATATATATACATGCAAAAAAAATGTACCGCTTTGAGCACAGAAATATGGACATAATCAGACCGCTAAAGAGGCTAATCAGTACAGTTCTCGTCCGAAAATACAATACCAATACATTACTACATTTCTGAATTTTTATTCTGTCGTACAAGAATTTTCCCGACTTTAATAACCTCTTCACTTTCGATATGAGACTAGCATTCATCCTATATTCTCATCGTGTGTGTACAAGGTTTAACGCTTTAAAGGTGCCATTACCTTATGGTGTAACAATTACTATTCAGATATAGAAATCTATAAACTTGTTTTACATTGTATGCTTAAGCTCCCTGCATGCTTTACCGCTTTCCTCACTAGCATCTGCCATATTGTAACTCTGGTTCACAGACTTGGAAGGGGGGGTAAGGTTAGGGGTGACAGGATTGATTCTGTCCGTCTTATAGCACTGTCTGTCAATCACGTAAAATTAGTAGAATTAATTTTTTTTTTTCCCTTTCTGTGTTGTAAATCTGCACATTGTGAAGTTAGTGCAGCGTTCTATTGTCTGTAAAAGATGTTTGCTTGGTTTCTGACAAAAGGAAATGACCATTACAATGCGATTTAGTGGTTAGACACCATTTTACTCTATTTAGATGTTATCTAAGTGTCAGTGATACTTTTACTAGTTTGTGAAGGTCGCACTTCAACATGCATAGTATTCGCTTTTATATTACTTGTGCACATGCAATGAGAACATTTTGGGGTTTTTTTTGCCTTTTGTTGTACTCATATTAAGAGACATTTTATTACATCCTTCAGTTTATTTGTAAAATCCATTGTGTTTACATCCGCATTCTACATAGTTGGCTTGGAAAGACCTGCCTACAGCATTTGTTTGCATCATAAAAAAAATAAAATAAAATGTGCACTTAGACCTATTTTTGCATGGATTAACAACCAACATTTGTTTGAATATATGAAAATTATGAATTAAGTGTTTTGCAGCTGTTGTGGTATTGTTGTGTTACAGCAGTGAGCATTAAATTTACATTTCCTCCTTTTTTCAAGCCACCCACATATATGCGAGCGTTGCATTATGTGTGGGCCTCAGTGTGATATGCAATGACTGCCCCCGAATGTGTAGGTGCTATTTGCAGTAGAATTTCAGATTGCACAGTATAAATGCAAAAAAAAAAACCCCCCAAAAAACAATGTTCAGTGCAAGGCTTGCAAGTGTATTTTTTAACTTGCCATCATTTTGTGTTTTCTTGTAGCAACATGGCAAACGCTCTGGCAAATGCGATGTGTGAGCGCTGCCGTTCTGGCTTTGCTCCAGCAGAGAAGATTGTGAACAGCAATGGAGAGCTGTACCATGAACAGTGCTTTGTGTGTGCGCAGTGCTTTCAGCAGTTTCCAGAGGGACTTTTTTATGAGGTAAGGTGTCCATAATGACATAGTCAACAGATGAGTCAACATTCCCTTCGCACATGTTCCTGGACTGTGCTCTCAAAAGGACTGGGGTGCTGCAGCCACCACCAGCTGGATACTGGAGCATACACAACACAATGTACTTTTTTGTTTCATTTTTTTTTGATTTCTCAATTGGGTCTAAATTTTTTTTTTTTCTTTTTTTATTGGAGAAAGATCACATCAGAGTAGTGCAACATTTTGGACCCATGCAGGACCAATTTGTCAGTCAGTTTGGACTTAATTACATTGTATAGTTACATAGTCGGGTTGAAAAAAAGACACTAGTCCATCTAGTTCATGCAATTTAAAAAAAAAAAAAAAAAAAACCTCTCCCTATACACTGTTCTGTACCCATAGTTGATCCAGAGGAATGCAACAAAAACATTAAAGCATGATCCAGTTCGCTCCAGTGAGAAAATTCCATTCGGATCCCCCAGAAGACAATCGGATATTCCCTAGATCAACTACTCCTGGTGTTATTACCTCTACATTTTAGTATCCAGTTATATTTTGTGTATTTAGGAGTGCATCCAGCTTTTTTTAAAACCACCTAATGAGCTGGCCAGAACTAGTTCTTGAGGGAGTCTATTCCACATGTTCACAGCTCTTACTGTGAAGAAGCCTTTCTGTGAAGGTTAAATCTTTTTCCTCCAGACATAGAGTGCCCATTTGTCTCTAATAATCTGAAAGTGCATAACTCCTCACCAAGTTCACTATATGGACCATCTATGTATTTATACATGTTGATCATAACCCCCTTAATCTTTCAAGAGAGAATAAATTTGGTTCCTTTAATCTTTCTTCATATCTGAGCTCCTCAATGCCTCTTATCAGTTTGGTTGCACCACTTTGTGCTTTCTCCAGTTCCCCAATGTTCTTTTTGTGACCTGGTGCCCAAAACTGAACTGCATATTCCAGATGAGGTTTTAGTAAAGATTTGTACAGGGGCAAAATTATGTTGCTTTCTCTGTGTTTGTCTATACCTGTTTAATACAAACTGCACTGATGTTCCTGGCCTGGCACCTTTCTGTTGTTGGGGACAGCTCAACACTTAAACTGTAAATCCAGTCAAATTCTAATGTCTTACTGTTGCTAAACCTATGGCTGCTACCATTCCCAGGCTATTCTATCTGCCTTGTGAAACAAAGGATGTGTATAAATGCCTATCCTGAAGCCACTCCGGTCTAGTCACATGCATGGGTACCAGGGCCGGCTTCAGCATGGGGGGTCAGCCGACAATGGCTGCCCCATAGTAAGTCTATGGGTGATGTCACCACCCATGCTCTGCAGCCATTGTTACTGCCTCTCCTCTACACTGAAGCTGGCGCTGGGACACAATAATGTGGCTGGACCAGAGCAGCTTCAAAATAGGTTTCACAGGGTAGATAAGAAAAGTCTTAGAATGGGGGAATAGGTTTAGACTTGGTTGGAATTTGACTGGAATTACACTTTAAGCCATAATTGTCATAGTGAGACAGCATTGTGAACCTGATACAACCCATCAGTAAAATTGAACTGACTCATCAGAAGGGACCAATCTTCTCATTAGAATAAGATCTGCTTATCGCTTGAACATTCAGTTGGGCTTAGTAATATGGTTCCACTGTAGCAGCCATAATGGACCAGTAGTAAAACCTTGCATGATAAATTGAGCACAACTTTATTCAAAACTAGAGAAAAATAAAATGGTTTTTGGCTAAAGTTGGTAGGGTTAGATGGTCTATAGTGGTTTTTAATACTGTCTGTCGGTTGCTGGGAAAAAATTCCACTTTATTATATCCTTGTAATTTTGAGAATTGGGAAAAAAAGATGTAAATACAAATCATAGTTCTTTCTGACAAACCAATATAAGTAGTAACAACTACAGTGGCAACAGTAAAAGGGTGTAAACAAGCATAGGCCCAAATAGGTTGTGGTGTTCTTTTTTTTGTTTGTTTTGTTTTTACAGATTCTTAGTGTGCTGTCAGCTTTGTACTTCTGCTGGCTGTAAAATTGGCGTATAAAGATTATAGGCTTGGCATATTTGGTATCTATTTACTCAACACAGTACCGTCTTCTTTATTTTTTTTTTTTTACTTAACATTTTTTATTGAAGACTTTAAAAGGAAATGAATAGAAGAAAATGATTTAACAAAATGGTCAAGGTGTATAAAGAAACTCTGGTTACATTAAATTACTGTAATACCGTTTAACAATTTTTATATAATAAACTTAAAGGGTCTAGTCTGGGTATCGAGTAGGGATAGATAGAACTTCGAAAAAGCAAAGAAAGGAGAAAAGAAAGAAGGTGGCTCATAGAGGTGCTATTCGTCGAGTTATAAAAAAGTGGATGTAGTATAACTTGGTGTACCTTGCGTTGCTGGGAGCGGGATCTGATATTATCAAGTCAAAGGGCACCTTAGGATAGGGAAAGGAGTCATGTTATATGGGGTTATTTACCCTTGTATCATTTTAACCAGGGGCCCCATTCATAAAGAATTATGATGTAGTTAGATTTGCTTTAGCAAACGTATTTCAGGTCCATGTGTTGGTTGTGGGTGCTGATGATTTGTGGTAGGGTAGGGGGAGCACTATCTTTCCATTTAGGGGCAATAGATAAATGAGCTGCTATGAAGATGTGTGTTAAAGTGGGACGGTAATGTCTGGGACAATTTTCTAATGCCAGCCCCAGCAAGGCCATTTGCGGTGATAATATTCAAGGCATACCAATTTAAGTTAGTTATTAAGGTTTGTACATCCTTCCAAAATACAGTCCCAGGCAGGTCCACCAAATGTGTATGTCTTGGGATAATAAGATGGCTTTGTAATAAGAATTCACCTCAGGTGCACCCATTCCTGCATTGGATTTTGTGGTGCACATAATAGTGTTTCAGTCTGGGGCATTTGCAATCCCATATGACAGTGTTTGGGGTACGTTGAAATGTGGCCCATTGGGAAGCCAAAAATGTAGTTGGTAGAGTTTGGAAGAGGTACAGGATATGGGACATGAGGTACATCTTGGAGAGTGCTATTTTTCCAGCCTACGAACAAACTGGGACAGAATTTTAGTTAGAGCAGAGGTCTCGTAGTTTCCTAAGCAGGATCTCAAGGTTCATATGGAGGGTGTTATTGGAAGGAACTGATAGTTGTATTCCAAGGTAAGTAAAAGATGAAGCTGGGGCCCTTGGAAAGGGGGACGAGCTCGATAAGTTTGATTAAGTGGTGTGATAAATATAGATACCTAGTATACAAGATTTGGAGCAGTTGATTTTACATAGGGAGATTTGACCGAATGTCATTAACAGCTCATAAAGATTGGGTATGATTGGTCATAGCATGACATCATCTGCGTAAAGTCCGATTTTGTGGAAAAGCGCACCCACCTGCACGCCTGAGATCTTTGGGTGGTTGCGAACTGCTTCCGCTAGGAGTTCCATTACCATTGCAAATATTAGTGGGGAGAGGGGGCAGCCATGTCTCATGCCATTGGTTATGTTGAAGGGGCTTAATGTTACGCCTGAGGTCAGTACTCTGGCAGAGGGGCAAGAGTATAGAGCAAGGACCGCTTTAGGGATAGATCCCACAAAGCCAAATTTCTGAAAAATGGCCTTGAGATAGGACCAATGCACCCTGTCTAACACCTTCACTGCATCTAGAGACAGAAGCAGAGAAGGCGTTCAATGACGCTCTGCCCATTGTATGAGATTAAGGAGCCTCCTGGTGCCATCAGATGCTTGTTACCGTGGGACAAACCCCACCTGATCAGGCTGAATAAATGAAGGTATATACGAGAGGCTAGAATTTTTGTGTAGATTTTGATGTCCGTGTTTAAGAGCGATGCGGGGCACTAGTTTGCAGGGTTGTCATGTGACTTACCAGAGTTTGGGATGGTGATATTTGCTTCTAGGGATTTTTTTTGGGTGTCTTCAGTGGACATGATGTAATTGAAAGATTTGCGTAAGTGTGGGGTGAGGACAGTGGTGAAAGTTTAAAGTATTCATTGCAATAACCATCTGGTCCAGGTGCTTTGTGTAGAGGGAGTGAGTGTATTGCTTTCGAGATTTCCTTGTCAGAGAAGGGTGCATTAAGGTCCGCCAATTGTGCGTCGGTAAGAGTGGGAAGCTGAAGCGGAGCTAGGAATTGAGTAATCTGAGCAGGGTCAGTGGTAAGTTCTATGGGAGAGTCATTTAAATTATATAATTTTGTGTAAAAGTCACGGAAGCAGTTAGCAATGTCTTTAGGATTGCATATTTTCTGGCTTTGGGCTGTGTGTATGTAGGGCATTTTGAATAATGCCACTTTGCATTACACTTGCTTAGCTAGCAAAGGTCCAGGTTTATTACCGTGGGCATACCATGTCAGGCGAAGGCGTTTGAGATACTAGTCAAAATGAAGCTTGCAGGTAGGTGCGGTGCCCCTCTCTAAGTTTACACAGTAGAGCCGTATCGGAGTTGTTTGGAGAGGCTTTGTTGGTCCTTTCGAGCTTATGAATCTCGTTTAAAAATTCATTAACTTTCCGTGCACGTACATGTTTCTCTTGGCCCCCCAGCTTCATGAAAACACCCCTCATATATGCTTTGTGTGTATTCCAAATGAGGGAATCATTTGTTACAGAACCAGTGTTATGTTCGAAGAATGACTCTAGTTCCAGCCTAATCTTTTCCTGATGCTCAGGATGGGAGAGAAGGGACGTATTCATATGCCAGGAGGTATGTTTCAGGAATTCTGACCTGAGTGATAACGAAATGGTGACTGGAGCATGGTCTGAACATGTAATTAGGCCAATGTTGGCATGAGAAATAGACTGTAAGATGGATTTATGCATCAGGAAAAGATCAATCCTAGAATAGGACTTCTGAGCTTCAGAATTGAAGGTGTAATCCCTCTCCGAACCGTGCATACACCGCCAAGGGTCATACAAATCCTCTATCTACGTTAGCAAGGAAAGGGCAGTAGACCGTAGTCTGTGTATGTGGTGTCAAGGGTATGGTCAATTATGTCATTAAGTGGAGAGTTTGTTCATTAATAACTTGTAAAATTTACTCTGATGGGTGTTTGGTGAGTAAATGTTAGCTACGAGTTATTGAGCATGGCATTCAAAATGTACCTGCCAGAGGGGACAGATTCCACATGCTGGAGCTGGAGAGAAATAGATTTCATATAGCTATCATGACTCCCTTGTTTTAAGGGCGTTTGCAAAGAAGGTGTGTGGGAAGAGGCTGTGAAGACACAGAGGGGCTTTGCCTTGCTTAAAGTGCTCTTGTCAGATTTTTGCGTTAGGGCTTCTTTCCATAGATGTGATCTTTTAAAGGGACTATTAAGTCATTTTTTTACGTTAACTGTGGTAATATGTAGCGCCATCAGGAGCTAAACTTGGCAGTGGTAGCAATAGGTGGAGACCAATCACTGCAAAGAAAGTATAGCCTTTGTGAAAGGGGACAGGAGGAGAGTACAGAGCGATACCCAGAAATAAGATAATGCAGTATACACCATTACAAATAACTGGAAGAACCGAACAAGTAATGAAATTCTCTGTGAGGCTTCATTCACACTTGATAATTTTTTACCTCAAAGCTCCAAAAAAAGCTCCAACTTAAAAAATCAGTTGTTCTCTATGGCGCCTGTTTACACCTGATCATGTGAACAGTTTGAGCTTGAGCGTTTTTGGAACTTCGAGCTGCAAGCTACAAAACTCTCAAGTGTGAATGCAGCCTAATGGTGTGTGTATAACACACTTCATGCCAAGAGTGCGTACTCACACAGTACCAGAAAGAAGATCTAGAAACAAGAACATTACTCTCCACTGCTCAGGTGACAGAGTAGTGAGGACAAAACATGAAACAAAACAGAAGAAAACCAGCAGGCCTGCCTTGAGGGAGGAAAAACTGGGCAGGTAGGGCTCAGGTCACATAGGCTCTTGCGATCAGTGTTTCTTTAGGGTGCAGTAGATCTGGAAGATGGCTCCTTTCATGGGTAATGTGGTGGGGGTGATTGTGTTAGGCCCCTGTTGTGCAGCTGCTTGAAGCCATCTTTAGGGGAGGAAATAGTGTTCTGTTGGTTATGGTACGTGACTAGGAGTTTAGGGGGAAAACCCCAGTGATATATAATGTTGCGATTCCGCAACACCACAGTAATAGGAGCAAACTCCTTTCTCCTTTTGGGAAGTTTCCACAGAGAGATCTTTGTGTAGGGCAACTCCCGTATACGGTGTGGGAAGGGAGGAAATGGATCTGGCAGCGCTAAGGAGTTTCTCATTAGGATCCATTTTTACCACATAAAAGGAGAATGTCCCGAGGAACCTCATCAAGGAGGTGGGACAGTTTTTAGGGATCCTGTGTTCTCTGTCCGTAAGGAGGTCTGTCGCGGTGAGATTGGGGATAAGCTTCAAGAATAGTTGTTGCAGATAGGGAACCAAATTTCCTGATTTGACAGCTTCAGGTATCCCTCCGAGTTTAATATTGCATCTGGAGCGATCCTTCAGGTCCGCTACCTTTTAATTGGAGTTTGCGTATCGCTTCGGCTTGCGATTCATGTGCATCGGCCATTTCATCATGGGCTTTAGCAACTTCACCCATCTGGGACCCTAGGTTCTCTGTGCGGTCCTGTATATAATCCAATCTGTTGGGAGACAGAGAGAGGAGTGCAGCTCCACATGCAGGCCAGCTTGGAGGGATAGAAGCATTGCTGTTAATGTGGCCTCAGTGGCAGGAGTATCAGTAGCTGGGAAGCTAGCAAGTGGCTCTGTATATACTGTGCATGTTGATCTGAGGTAACACCCTCTCTGTTGGCCCAATGGTATTTTTTGGCAGAGGGTGGATTATGGGGAGGTGAGTTTGCCATTCTGTTACCCCTGTCTGCTGCTGTAGAGGGTGAGAGGTCTGGAGCAGCATCTTCCATATTAGAGAGCAATTCCTGGGCTGGGTCTCCCTGTGTCTGTGGTGGTGGTGGGGGGAAATGTGTGTCTCCTCGGCACCATCTTGTGGGTTCCTGTGCCCTGACTGCATGAAGAAGTTCGTGAGGTGGCACGGTCCAGGGGCCTGATTTTTTTTTTTTTTTTGTGGTACAAAGTCATGAGTCCTCCCACTATCTTGTCCTCCCTCGTGGAGATGGAAATGGCACTCTGGGTTGCTGAGAGCCGCTGTTGTCACCCGTGGCTGTGGAGGAGCTCAGCACTAAGTGGCCATTCCAGTCGGCAGCTAGGACACACCCTCACAGTCTTTTATTTTTAATAGAAAATGTGTACGACAAAATTGCTAATGCAGCAACAGGGTTATAACAAGACTGTGGATCAGCTCAGACCTGTTCTTTAAAAGCAACCATTGCCACTAGAAGTTTAAATCTCTAAACCTCAATAAATGATGCATTGTCATTTGTCAGCGCTTGCCAGACCAGCATTTTTTCAGCTAGGTAAAAACTTTTGTAAATTAGGTGTTAAAATCCCAATGGTGTTTAAGGTAAGAAACATTTCTGTCTTAAATCATGCATAATTTTCATATATAATGTATTGCTTGATATACCACTCTATATAAAACAGTATTTTTTAAAATGTGCTACAATCAATCAGTTCTAACCCCAACTTTTTTTTTACCCGAGAGGAACCCTTGAAATAATTTTCTTGAAAAGAATAAAGTAAATAGAAAAGAAACCTAGACTGTGAAATTGTGGTCTTTGTAGAAATGACCATTTACAATGGAGATCACTGCTCAAGAGGAACCCGTAGCAACCTCAGGAGGAACCGTAATTGCAAAATATTATAATGACCACTGTTTACCTGTTAAATATTTATTTCATTTTACATAATATTATCATTGTTGTGTTGATGGTGGAAATCCAATTATGTTTCCTTAGTTTGAGGGGAGAAAGTACTGTGAACATGATTTCCAAATGCTCTTCGCCCCCTGCTGCCATCAGTGCGGTAAGTAAGAATTCTTATGTCTCTATGGTTTTCTGAGGTAAAATGGAAATTGACTCTGAATTCTTAATTTTAGCATTAAATGTTACTCTTCCTTTAGTGTTTTTGCTTTATAACAACACTAGCATAATATGGGTGCTTACATTCAAACTGGGACACTGTCTGCATGGAGTTTACATGGTCTTTCCATGTTTTCATGGGTTGCTCAGTTTTTCACTCAGTCCAAAAACATACCGGTAGATTACTTGACTTCCACCCAAAATTACCTCTACCGTGTATGCTAGAAAGATTGTAAACTGCTTTGGAAGAGATTTATACAAACCTTACTCTGTAAATTGCTTTGTAATAGGCTCATGTTATTAAATAAGGAAATTAATTATAATAAAATAATGTGGTGTAAAGAGCACACGGAGGTTACTGCTGATCTAAGTTGGAATGTCATAAACTCCCAATCGCCTGACCAAGGAATTCATAAAGTCTGTCATTGCCTTCTTCGCCAAGAAGACTTTATGGCTTCTGTGGACATCAAGAATGTGTACCTGCATGTTCCTATCTTTTCAGTGATTTGTAGTCTTTTTGCTGTGGGCCCCCTACACTGCCAGTTTGTGTCCCTGCCCTTCAACCTCATCTGCACCTCCAGTGTTCACCAAGGCACTGAAACCAGTATTGGCGCTGTTGTGCTCTTGTGAAATACTTAAAGTGGAGCTCCAGTCAAAATCTAAAAAAATAAGTCAGCAGGTACAAACTGTGGCTCCTGACTTTGTAAAAACAGACACTTGCCTTTCCCTTGATCCACCGGCTGTCCTCTCTCCCTGGCGCCAGCATCTTAAGTTTGAGCACCCAGCTGTGACAGCTTGTGGATTCACAGCCGGGTGTGCAAGCAGTGCTGCGCCTTGTAAATAGTTCCCATATCCTTCTGGGACGGTCACATGTCCCAAAAGACTACGGGGAGGGAGGACAGCTTCCGCTTCCGATAAACTAGGGGATCGCAGTGGATGTGAGAGCAGGTACCTGTCAAAATCACGTACCCGCTTCCGAAAGATGCCAATCCTCAACAGAAAGCAGGGGGACGAGGTCTTAAAGTGGAACTTCCCCTTTTGGGTGGAGCTCCACTTTAAACAACCTCCCAGTTGGTGCAGGCTCTGTCTGATAACATAGCTTTAACTGTCCAGACATTATAGCAATTTGATTGGATCCTGAACCTTCAGAAATCATAGCTGAATCAGAATCTGAGTCAAGCCCCACCGTTCAGGCCAGAGTGCTTCTTCACCAAGGAAACTAACGGCACTCTGCTTTTGTATGAGAGTCCAAAGTCTGATAGTAGCTTCCTTCAATGCAGTTCCATTTTCTTGGTTTGACTGCAGACCTCCACAATGCAACATTCTTTTGTCATGGGACAAGTCACTTAATTTTCTGGGCCCAATGCCAGGTTATCCCATGCTGGTGGCTCAGCTCTGGAATTGGAAGTTTTTCCTTCCTCTCTTTTCAAAGCTACAACAGATGCCAGCCTGTCTGGCTGTGCAGAAGTCCTGGGCAACTTGTAGATGCAGAGAACTTAATCTCCTCAGAGTCCCATATCCCAGTCAACATTCTGGAATTTTGGGCAGTTTTGCTGTCTCTACAGCAGTGGACCATCCTGCCTGGAGATAATTTAATCAAAATTCAGGCAGAAAATATCACAGTGCAGATGTACATCAGTCATCACGGAGGAGCCAAAAGTCTTGCCACTGTAAGACAGGTAGATCGGATGGTAGATTGGATCATTTCCTGAGTAGAACTACATCTACTAGTGTTCCAGATTTCTCTGTCATGTACACCCCAGACTTAAGTTGGCAAGCAGGCTAAGACCTGGAGAATGTATCCTACATCTGGAGCTGTTCCAGGACCTGTGTTGCAGTTGGGGGGGAAGCAGGATGGTCTCCTCCTGGTCTTCAGTTTCAACATCAAACTGGACAGGTTTGTCTACAGGTACAGGGATCCTCGAACAGAAGAAGTGAATGGAATGCGTACACCCTGAAACTCCTTCCTTGGCTGCTTCATAGGATCGAGATCGAAGGCACTCCAGGGATGCTTACAGCTTCAGACTGACCCAACTAGGTGTGGAATTCTGATCTGTTCATTCAGCTGTCTCAAGGACATCTCTAAATCCATGATCCGCACTATACCAAGAGTTAGGCCTTTCAGGAAGTAGACTTTCTATCACCACACATGGAAGGCTTACTACATCTTCTTTTTTTTTTTTTTTTTTTTTTGTTCGAATGGACCTTCACCAAATTTTGACCCTGAGCACCATCAAGGGATCTTGGTGCTTATGATCCTGTTCTAGAAACCGATGACTTCCCATTCTTTTGAAGACTTTTGTACAGGGTGTCTCCAGTGTGGTTCCCCTGTGTACTCCCCTTTAATTCTTTTGGATCTGTACTTAGCTTTCGTGGGACTTCAAAAACTTCAGTTTGAATCGGTCAGGGATATCACCTTTTTCACTCACAAGGTTGCATTCCTAATTGCAGTCACCTCTGTGAAGTGAGTGTATGAGCTTGGTGACCCTATCCTTAACCCCTTCTGGTCTTACACAGGGACAGGGGCTTCCTTTCCAAAGTAGGTTTAGCCCTTCACGTAAACCAGGACATTGTTCTTTACTCCTTTTTGTCTGACTCCAGTTCAACAGGAGATGTCCCTCTATTGTCTGTCTGGATCTTATTGTGGTGGATTTGGGTTTCTCACAGCTACTGCTACCATGAGAGTCTGAATCTTTCTTTGTTATTCATGATAGTCCCCATAAAGGGGCAATCTGCTTTTTGTTTCACCATTTGTTAGTGGCTCTGGTGGACAATCATCCAAGCCTATGGTCTCAAGGATCAGGTTCCACCTTGTTCGTGGCAAAGCACACTCTGCTAGATCAGTGAGTGCTTTTTGCAATTTTCAGCATGAAGCAACTGTTTTCCAGATTTTCAAGACTGCCACCTGGTTTTCTGTTCACACTCTTAAGTTTTTTACCAGGTAGAGGTTTAGGCCTCTTTTGATGTCTGCTTTGGGCATAGGGTCCTTCAGGCAGTTTTTTAAGCTACAGGCAGCCTCCAGTTCTGTTTAGTGTTTGTTTGCTGTTGCCTACCCCTCAGTTGGCCTGTTTTTAGATGTCCCTACAGTCTCAGTCCCTCAATGGACGAGAAAAGGAAATAGGATTTACTGTAAATTCAATTCTTGGAGTCCATTCAGGTGTGTTTATGCTCCTAGTACTGCTTTGCCAGCTGAGGCATGCTGGCAGTAGAAGGTGTTATACTAGGATGACCCACAAGTTTTTGTTTTAGTGTCCAATCCTCCTGTTGGAAGCAGTATAACTTGACAGTCTCTCAATTCCTGTGTCACTCAATGCACTCCAAGAATATGTACAAACATCCCACTTTTTTTTTTTTTTTTTTTTTTACACAGATCATGTTTGTTTGCTTTGTTCAGTATAGACTAATAAATATATGTTTTGGCTTATTCATCCATTTCCAGGTGAATTCATCATTGGCCGTGTTATCAAAGCAATGAATAACAGCTGGCATCCTGAATGCTTCCGTTGTGACATCTGTCAGCAAGTCTTGGCAGACATTGGATTTGTGAAAAATGCAGGCAGGTGGGTGATGGTAGTCCATGTTAGGGAATCTAAGGCTGTACTTTACCATCCCTTTCTTGTAAGATTTTACCCAGTACATAGAGCCTATAGTGGTCTTTCCTGCTCTGGAGATCTGGTGAGCTCCTTTGGTCTCAGATGTTACCCTTACCCTGAAGAAGATATTTGCAGGACCTTAAACATAGTGCACTCCCCTAGCCTGCTTACTGTATCTCCTACCTCCTTAAAAGGCAGAAGATATGTTTTCTGTTATTTTCTAGCAAGGGTGGACTAGATTTTAGACAGGGACAAGAAGCTGAACCAACCCATATTTCTGAAAATGTTAGTTGCTTGTTCATTATGCGGCATCTTTGCAGTACTTTGAGTCACTTGATTTGAAATAGATTTGGGCTCCATGCACACTGGCTTAAAAAAGCCAGTGCCCTTGGCATGAAAAAAAAAAAAAACGCTAACTTTGAGCAGTTTTTTTATACTAGCGTTTAGCGTTTTTTTTTGTTTCTGCAAGAAAGACGCTCTCAGAAACGCAAAACAGGGTTTTTTTCTGCTTCTAAACGTTGAGCTTAAACACCTCTAGACTACCTAATGTGCATGCACACATAGGATAACATTAGTTGTTTCTACAGGCAAAATGCTAAACTCCCCTAGGAGCAACGTTGTGGTTTTTTTTTTTTTGTTTTGTTTTTTTTTGTGTGGTTTTGTTTTTTCAAAACCAGTGTGCATGGAACCTTAAAAGTTAAGAAGCTGTAGGCCACTTACACATTGCAGCTTAAAAAAGTACAGTACTGCCTTTTTTTTTTTTTTTTTTTTTTTTTTTTTTTTTTACCGATCTAAAACGCAGCCCATTGTTTGCAATGTGCCTATCCACACAGACTCGTAAACAAAGTGTGTATTCCTGAGGAAAAAAAAAGGGAAATAAGTCTGCATTCCCAATCAGTAATTTGCGCTGGTATGTCTTGATATGTGCGAATACGTGCATATGAGCATAATTATGTTGAAAATTTATAGATTTTTGCCTATAGAATATATTGTATGAGCATATGCGCGCAACGCTAAATACCCAAAAAAAATGCTGAAATTACGCCCAGAAATGCTGATGCTCAAACATCAGTACCGTGTGTAAAAGGCCTAATGCTTGTTCCCAGTCACTGACTTAAAGGATAAGTTCACCTTTTAGCAAAAAATAATAAATGCACATTTTTTTTGCAGGTATAAAAATGTGCATTTATTATTTTTTGTTTCAGGAGACTCTAAAGCAGGGGTCCTAAAACTACAGCCTGCGGGCTGAATACGGCCCGCCAAAACCATTTATCCAGTCCGTTGGGCCAGCCGAAAAAAAAAAAAAATTGGAAAGAAAAATGGACTGGCAAATGGCTAGGCTGCTCACTGGGTCCTCGGCCACGAGGACCCAGCGAGCGGCGTCCTCGGCCGCGAGGACCCAGCGAGCGGCAGCCTGGAAGTCCCTGATTTCACCTGCTGCAGCCAGAGGAGCAACAGCAGAGGAGGAGAGTACAGCAGGTACAGTGCATTGCGGTGTCCAGTGCGGTACACTTTATAGTGCATTGCGGTGTCCAGGCGTTGGTGTACAGTGCATTTTAAATATTATATTGGGTTTTTTTTTAGGTTTTTTTGCACTACAAATAAGATATGTGCGGTGTGCATAGGGATTGTTCATATTTTTTTCAAACTATAGTCTAGCCCCCCAACAGTGTGATTGTCCGTGAACTGGCCCCCTGTTTAAAAAATTTGAGGACCCCTGCTCTAAAGCATTGCAGGTCTCCCTCTGACCTGTCCATATCGGCTTCCTCATACATACTGTATGGGCAAGCAGATACTCAGTGAACTACCATGGTGCTGTGGAGCCGCAAAGGCTTCCGGGACTTGTAGTTTTCCCATTCACAGAATACTGTGAATGAGTGACACGGCCGGGTGGGTGAAGCCCTGCACGGCCGCAGTTTTTGTTTTTTTGTTTTTTTTTAAATTGTGACAGCTGGGGAGGAGAAGATCCCCAGCTAGCTGTCGCTGCGGGCATCATGGGGGGGGGGGGGCGGGAGGACTAGTCCAATTATAACCTATTACACCCTGAATATGGGTGTAGCATGTTACGAAAGGTGAATTTATCCTTTAAACTTGAATGTTGGACACTCTGAAAATCTACCCTAACCTTCACTTCCCCAGCCACAACAAAAAGCATTTTTTTCTCACTTTTTAGGTTAAAGGGGTTGTAATGGCTTAAGGTTATTTACCATCATGCATTCTATGTATGAATGTAAAACGCCTCCCATGTGCAGCAGTGCCCCCAGCCCCCTCAGTACTTACTCGCGTTCCATCGATGTGTACATCAAATCGGTATCCCAAGTCTCTGCCGCCTCACTGGCTGTGATTGACAGCAGCCAGAGCCAATGGCTCCCGCTTGCTGTCTCAGCCAGTCAGCCAATGAAGAGGGGGGGGCCAAGCTGCAGCTCCGCTTGTGAATGGACACACAGAGCAGCGGCTTGGGAGCAAGCTGCAGCTATGGGGACATGTTTGTTAAATTCCCCCCCAAAAAAAGGTGAACCTTTGGTATCGCTTTAGATCTACATTTTTTAAAAAGATGCTATATGATTAGTTTTTCTTTCACAGTGCAAGTGTGCTCATTTGCTGAGAGGAAGGATCCCAACATCACATACACTGTTTATTCAATGCAACTAAGTAAACTCAAGTCTCATGAGGTATTGGGACATAACAATATGGTGAGCGGGATTGTGGGCATTGATAGTGTGCTCAGGAGTATGTGCATATACTGCCCTTCAAGCCTGGCAGGCGTGGATGAATGAGACAGACCAGGATTTCTCTGACCTCTCAATCACCTAAGGCAAACGAGGATGGGTGAGGCAGACCAGGAATGTTAGCAGAAATATAGATTTTATGTGCCTTGGTCTAACTTTAACAAAAAGTCCCCTATGTGATGAATTGTTGGTGACAGTTTCTCTTTAATGAGACATCCTCGGATTTAAAATAAACCCTGGATTTCTCCCTCGTGCTCCACAGGATCTAATGCAGTGCAGATCGCACTACATTAGATTCGTTCCCAGCCGGGGACACTGACATGGGGACCTGGAAGTGATGTTTTACACGTTGCTTCCGGGTCAGCAACAAGGAGAGAGGTGCAGACGTGTCAGAGGTATACACGAGCCATTGGGAGTGTGGTTTAAAACCCCCCCGCTGTCAGATACATACCATGTATGGACCTGGTAGCAAAAGGGTTAAAGTATTGAAGTCAATGACAACCAAGCATCTAGCATTTTCAGAGGGTGGCCAGCAAGAGCATCAAAGTCTGCATTCGTTCATTACCTGGGCCTTCAAAATGTCCACAAAAGAAAATCTGTCCGCCGTGGCTAAGCAGTTGGGCAGCACTATGGTAGACCATTGAAGCATATTTTAGTCTTTGTAAAGGAAGTTTTTGTAAATAAATACTACAAGCAGTGTAACTTAATTTTCAAGCATAGTGTTATTTTTATCACCTGTATAACCTGAAATTATTATTCTAGACACCTGTGTCGTCCATGTCACAATCGAGAGAAGGCCAGGGGACTGGGGAAGTACATTTGCCAAAAGTGTCATGCAATTATTGATGAGCAGCCTTTAATATTCAAGAACGATCCGTATCACCCAGACCACTTTAACTGTGCCAACTGTGGGTATGTAAATTCAATAAGCCAATAAGTCTTTGCATGCCAATATTTATCATTTGTGAGAGTATGTTTGTCATCTAGAAATTTAATATAGTAATGTTTAGTATGAAATTAGGCGGATTTTGTATAATGCATTGCGTTGAACTTAACAACCAAACTCCTCTTGGATTAACTTTGTTACTAAGGGTTCTCATTCTTGGGGCTAAGTCCCACCCAGCCACCTTTCCCTTTGATGAGAGACTCCTTAATGGCCACTGGGTGTTCTCATTGGAGAGGGACAGCTGATGGAGAGGGCTTCATCCTTGGGACTAACCTCTGAAGTTCCAGATGGTAACCCTTTAGTAATGACATAAAGAATCAGAGAGATGTACAACAGAGGACTCTCTGTTCTGGATTACAAGTTTTTTGCTCTAAGTAATTTTTCAGCAACTCAAGATTTTTAAATGCTTAACCATATGCCCATTACTATAATGAGTTTAAAAAATGGTATATTCTCCCTCAAGGCAATTTGTTTTAGCACTTTATTATCTACAGTATGTGTGTGACACCAGAGTTTACAGTATAAAATTCAGTAGGTTAAAAAGCATTTTGGTAGAATTGTAAAGCCAGATCTGACATGTTCTAAACTTGGTATATTTGTGTCTCCAGTAAGGAGCTCACATCTGATGCCCGTGAGCTGAAAGGAGAGCTCTACTGCCTACCCTGCCATGACAAAATGGGTGTGCCAATCTGTGGAGCATGCAGGAGACCAATTGAAGGGCGAGTGGTTAATGCCATGGGAAAGCAATGGCATGTGGAGGTATGAAAAAAAATGCAGAGCTTGTCTTGCACTTTCTGGGCTTCTACATGAATTATTTATTATTTAACTATGATTTGTACTTTGCCGCCTTCATAATTTGTATTACAAAAAAATAAAAAACCTTCCATGAGGAAGTTGCAATAAAATCTACTACCTTTTTGATGCTCCCCAGAATCTTTATCCAGGCTGTTTGGCACTTATGTTGTTCAGGCAAGCCCTCTGATAATCATTTACATATCTGTCATGTAAACCTTGCAAATCATTTACATATCTGTCATATAAACCTTGCAGAACAATGAGATTAGCTGTCTGTGGGGTTGATAAGGCACCCCTAGGTTATCTTTATAAGGGGTGGGAAAAACTTGAATTGGAAAATTTCAGTGATGATTTATTGTTTCCACTCTTTATGAACAGAGAATGATGGTGCTGGGAGTGCATAGACAAGCTTATTCAGGGCTATAATTTTGTAATGTGTGACCTCTTCCCAAGGCTTCCCTCTGAGTTGCTTACATGAGACAACATTACATTTCACCCTGATATATTTGCGAGCTTTGGTGCTACATTAGGTTATGTGCCTTTTTCTAGCTCGATAAATGTAGACCTTAACCATTGTGCTGTTTGTATTAAGGCTGATGCCAGTTTTTTGTATTTCAGCATTTTGTTTGTGCAAAGTGTGAAAAGCCTTTCCTTGGCCATCGTCATTATGAGAGAAAGGGGCTGGCTTACTGCGAGACTCACTATAACCAGGTCAGTGATGATGAAAACAGTATTGGATGAATGAGGATGCATTTATCTGTTTTCACCTTACAAAAGTGTTTTTTTACATACATTTACAAGTAGAAATTGACCACTGTTTGCAGGAGAAACCCTGAATTTTATTTGATTTAAAAGCTGTAATGCATAGCAACAAAAATGAACACACACAGCCGAGCGTGGGAGTGTGCCTGCAGAGCAAGAGGCTTTGCTATGGGGGCACTCTGAGAAGAGGAGAAGCAGACAGCAAAGGACCTTTATTAGATGAGGTTTGGGGCCGCTCTGTACATATATCCTTGCACAGAGCAGGTAAGTATGCAAAGGAGGAGATTTACTAAAATTGGAGTGTGCAAAATCTGGTGCAGTTCTGTATAGAAACCAGTCAGCTTCCAGGTTTTATTGTCAAAGCTTAACTGAATAAGTTGGAGTTTTTTTTTTATTTTTGGCTCTGCGTTTTTTATTCATTGTAGCTTTCGTCTTGTCTTTCTCTAGCTTTTTGGAGATGTCTGTTTCCATTGCAACCGCGTAATTGAAGGAGATGGTAAGTTCTAACCCTTTTTTGGGTGATCTTGATTATCATAGTTTAGATCTATCTAATAATAATCACCTCAATTCTTAAAAAGGATGCAGTGTATGCATTTTTAAAAATCATAATTCCAAATGAATTCATGTTTGAGGTTGATTGCAGTGAGATGAGACTACTGTGATAAAGGATCATTTCACCATTAAGAGATACAGTGGATATAAAAAGTCTACACACCCCTGTTAAAATGTCAGGTTTCTGTGATGTAAAAAAATGAGACAAAGATAAATCATTTCAGAACTTTTTCCACATTTAATGTAACCTATAAACTGTACAACTCAGTTGATAAACTGAAATCTTTTAGGTGGAGGGAAGTAAAAATAAAACACTAAAATAATAGTGCACACGTGTTCACACCCTTTTGATTTTATTACAGCACTCAGTCTTTTTGGGTATGCGTCTATCAGCATGGTACATCTTGACTTGGCAATATTTGCCCACTCTTCCTTGCAAAAACACTCCAAATCTGTCAGATTGCAAGGGCATCTTTTGTGTACAGCCCTCTTCAGATCACCCCACAAGATTTTCAATCGGATTCAGGTCTGGGCTTTGGCTGGGCCATTCCAAAACTTTAATCTTCTGGTGAAGCCATTCCTTTGATTTGGGTTGTTGTCATGCCGAAAGATGAAGTTCCTCTTCATGTATAGCTTTCTAGCAGAAGCCTGAAGGTTTTGTGCCAATATTGACTGGTATTTGGAACTGTTCATAATTCCCTCTATCTTGACTAAGGCCCCAGTTCCAGCTGAAGAAAACCGCCCCAAAGCATGATGCTGCCACCACCATGCTTCACTGTGGGTATGGTGTTCTTTTGGTGATCTGCAGTGTTGTTTTTGCACCAAACATATCTTTTGGAATTATGGCCAAATAGCTCAACCTTGGTTTCATCAGACCATGACACATTTTCCCACATGCTTCTGGGAGACTTTAGATGTGTTTGCAAAATTTAGCCGGACTTGGATTTTTTTCTTCCTAAGAAAATGCTTTTGTCTTGCCACTCTACCCCATAGCCCAGACATATGAAGAATACAGTCAGTATTTGCCAGATATTCCTGCAGCTTCTTTAATGTTGCTGTATGCCTCTTGGCAGCCTCCCAGACCAGTTTTCTTCTAGTCTTTTCATCAATTTTGGAGGGACGTCCAGTTCTTGGTAATGTCCCTGTTACGCCATATTTTCTCTACATGATGATGACTGTCTTCACTATGTTCCATGGTATATCTAATGCCTTGGAAATTCTTTTGTACCCTTCTCTTGGCTGATACCTTTTAACAATGAGATCCCTCTGATGCTTTGGAAGTTCTGTGCGGACCATATTCTTTGCTGTAGGATGCAACTAAGAAAATGTCAGGAAAGACCTACTAGAACAGCTGAACTTTAGTTGGAATAATCAGAGGCACTTTAAATGATGGCAGATGTGTACTGACTCCTATTTAACATGATTTTGAATGTGATTGATTGCTTAATTCTGAACACCGCTACATCCCCAGTTATAAGAGGGTGTGCCCACTTATGCAACCACATTATTTTAGTTTTTTTATGTTTACTCCCCCTCCCTAAAATATTTCAGTTTGTTTTTCATTGAGTTGTACAGTTTAAAGGTCACATTAAAGATGGAATAAGTTCTGAAAAGGTTTCTTTGTCTAATTTTTTTTACATCACAGAAACCTGACATTTTAACAGGGGTGTGTAGACTTTTTATTTCAACTGTACATTAGTCTGGTGGATTGAGTTGTTGCCCCTGTTGGCTTTTTAGATCTCTTGCAGATTCTTCTTCTTTTTTTTTTTTTTTTAAATCTGAAAAAGAAGTCGAGGGGAAGGAGGTACGGTTGGGTTCCCTGGGGTGTAGTAAAGTCCTCAGTAGGTATTATTAGGATGGGAACAAGAGATCACTGTGACTCAAGGCTCAAATAAAGTTGTGTCAAAGTCAGCGGAGGCAAAAAGTTATTAATCCACCACTGCCAAACTTTCTAGTATTTGTGGATTCTGTCATATAGGGTTGCCTCAATCTTGGCATTGCCCGTGTGATCCTGTTTTTAGTCGCCAAGATGCAAGCTTTCCAAGACCTAGTTATTGTTTGCTTGACAGCCAAGGTCACTTATAACAACTGATACTGGTTTTAGTCAGCCCCGGTGCATTATGCTTTAATTGAGCAAGTTGAGTGTCTGGGTGGAGGGTGATATCAAACAAGTGACTGAGGATGAGAAATATTTCTAGCCAAAAGCATCCCACTAAGGGACAGGTCCACGAGATGTGTAAGCGTGTTCCAGGGTCACTACAACCATGAAAATGTTGACGTGCAACCTGGGACATATTATGCTGTTCTCACTGGAACAAGGTACCACCTGGACAACACGTTTAAAAGTTTTTTTTTCCAGGGCTAAAACATTCCATGATGCTCTGTGTTTTGCCAGCCTAATTTCAGGCCAGTCTTCTGTCATCAGATCTAAATCTGTCATCAACCAAGCAACATAGGTCCGGAGGGTAGCCGTTAACTATATAAAACCCAATTAATCTATGAGTTTACCCCTTTTTATGTGTGGGTTAGTAATACAGAAGTTTTTGAATGCGGTCTGTTGAGATAAATCTGACGTAGTGTGAGTATGCATTTAGTAAATTTGCTTTATCTGCAGGTAGAGGAATATTTTGGAACTCAAAAGTTAATCCATTTCTTGTACGGAGGCAAAAGGTTTAAAACCCAATGAGCTGACTAGTTGGTAAAGTCTCGTTATACTTGCTTAGGGCCAGCAATTAAACTATGCCAGAGAGACATGCACGTGGTAAAAAGAGGGGTTCAGAATAAAGGAGAGCATTGGGTGTGGGGAGAGGAGGCCTGATTTATATTTAGACCTGTTCCAAAGCATTAAGGAGTGCTGGGTTACTGGATTTTGGAGTGTTCCCCCTTCACGCGGAGAAAGCTACAGAATGTTGTCAATGGCTAACGGGTCCAGGTCTATTGCCTCCAAACTAACCCAGAGTAAAACTTCAGGAGTAGCATATTTTTAAGAGGGGTCAGTTGGGCAACGTGATAGTGGTTTTTTTTTTTTTTTCTACAAAAATGTATTCTATAATTTGGGGGAGAAAACTCTCCTTCCGGTTTAGGACATAGAGTGGAACGGGGAGGATGTGGTCAAACCTTGTCACAGATAAAATATGAAATTCTGCGTTGCAATATTCAAAAGTTATGAGAGGGGATAGAAAATTTTTGACTGTGATCCTGCCAATCCATGGTAGTTGGAGGGGTTACCACCTGGTCATAAGACTTGTCAAGATTAGCCAGCATTGGGGAATAGTTTCCTCGGTATAGGAGATCCAGGCGGCTTGTAAGGTCAATGTAGTACTTTAAACTGTGATCAGCCCAGGCAAAAGGAACGGATGCACACAGTCTTTGACATTCCTAGTCCAGGAATGTGATATTCAGTGCTTTTGACTTAAAGCAATTGACTTCGAGGCCTAGATCCCGTGTACAGGGCAAGCACCCAATACAAATAGTTTGGAACAATAGGCGATGCGTTAAAAGCCTTTATAGGTTACCACTTTAAATTTACAAAGGAGGTCTGGTGCTAGAATTACTGGCCATGATCTAATGTGTGTTCCCTCACGTGTGGGATGATCGCTGTTTTCTTGCGTGTTGGATTGATGTGTGCATTTGTCCTTATGCACTAGCATGAGGGGGAAGGAGCACTTTCATTTTATTTATTTTTACACTGCCGGATTGAAAAAATTTTTAATCACTTTTATTGCTGTCAGAAGGAATGTAAACATCCCTTGTGACAGCAATAGACATGTGGCACTTTATTGAGAAATCTGGGGTGAATAAGACCTCAATTCCCTCCTGTCCTTAAAAGCATTTAATCACACCACGATCAGTGTGATCAAATGCTTTTCCTTTTGTAAAAATAGTGCTGTTTGTATCCTAGTAAACCGGACGGTCATTGCCTCCGGGCTACTACGTCATAGAGCCGAAGAAAGCCAGTCCAGTCTTTGTTCTGCTCTGTGATCAGCTTAAACAAAATGGTAAACGGTTATTACAATGTTTGTGTAAATATATAGTATTTTGTTGTGAGAACAGTTACTAAGCAAGAAATCATTAAGGTGATGGTATGGACCTTTTTTTTTTTTTTTTTTTTTGGTTGTAGTTGTGTCTGCTCTGAACAAGGCGTGGTGTGTGAACTGTTTTGCATGTTCTACCTGCAACACCAAGTTAACACTCAAGTAAGTATTTTATTTTATCAACTAAATTCATAAAAGTGGCATCATCTCTTAAATAACAGCCATTATTTTAAAACCTATGTAAAAGACCTATAAATGCCTATTCTTACAAAACTAGTTTTTGTGTCTCTTGTATTGCGCTAGACAAAACTGAAAACTTTTATGGGGAAGTAAATCGTTCTGAGAAAGAAAGTATCTCCATAACTGAAAAATGGGTAAAAGGAGGAACAAGGAGAAAAATGGAAGAAATACCTTGACTCCAAAATAAATGATTAAAAGTTAAAGCACCACCTGAGACATACTAAATAAATCCAAAAAATAATTGAATATACCTGTACTGTTGTGCTCAAAACTGAAAATTACAGAAACATTTCTAATATAATATGAATGATGTTACTGTAAGATCCACTGATATTTTTTATTTTACATCAAATTCACTTATGTTATGCATTCACAATGATGTATGTTAAACTTTATCTTGCTGTTTGTGTCTTGAACTGATTCTGAAACGTTGCTGACCAAGCACAAGTGTGCAGCCTGTGGATACCAACTTCAGACCTGTATATCTGCACTGGGCCAGTGACTTACTAAGTAGTTAAGTTGAAAATTGAGCACAAGAGACCGAGGACTAGCAACTTCTGTTGTTAGTCAGCAGTGGTCTTAAGACCAATTTCTTTCTAAGCCATTAATAGTTCTCTATCTTTTCTGTCCTTCACTTTTTCTTTTTTCCTAGTCTGTGACTTTTATAGTTAAGTCAAACACGTTAAGGCCACAAAATGTTGTTGGTCTTTAGAGTAAACCTGTGCCTTGAACAGGTACAGCAAAGTCATATTTTCACTTAAATGCATGTCCTCACCACTCTACACACACCCCTTCCCTTTGCTCTCTCCATATTCCATTTCACCGAGTTGATATACACATTATTTCTAGGTATATCAACTGGTGTGACTTTCTTCTCTCCTCCTTTGGCCACCAAATTGTGCAGGCTATAATTTAAACTCGCTGGTCCTTATAAGGCTTTGGAGTTTCTCTTAAGGGTCTGTTGGCTATAGTTATTTTTAATACCTATTAGTTCCCCTCCTTAACTACTGCTATGGGACATCCGATTCATTATGATTGAAAACCTGTGTCCTGTACTGTGCGATAAAGAAAATTGGGGTTTCTACATACCTTTAAAATCCTTTTCTTGGAATAGAGTACAGGACCCTCTACTGTGTGCCTTTTGGTCCTTCATTGCTTGCTACCAAACTGAGGATCACAAGAGGGAGTTTCTCAGAGCCGGTTTACACTATAGAAACGCAGTCCAAATGGCAGCCTGATCAGTGTTCTAACCCTTACATATTAAATTAAAGAGTAAAAAATAGGTTTTTACTCAAGTCAGACTTGCTTTGCCTTTTTTGAGTGGAAGTGTTTATTTCTAGTTTCTGTGTTTTCATTTTGATCTTTGTCAAATGCAAAACAGAAAATGTCAAGATTATTATCTATTGTAGGCAAAGTATTTTCTGATCTTTTTTTTTTTTTTTCTGCTTTGTCTGTCAAACTTGCTCTTCTTTCCCTGGAATTACAAAGGCATAAATTTGTAGAGATAGATTTAAAGCCCACTTGCAAGCACTGCTATGAGAAAATGCCAGAAGAGCTTAAACGCCGCCTGTCCAAGTTATCAAAAGATGCAAAAGACAAAAAGAAAAAAGGATCCTGTCTCTAAATCGTCTTCTCTCCCCTTTTCACATGGGTTAGTGGCCTGCCTGCGTGTGTGACGTGTCACGGCACTTACTAATCAATACATGGGCTGGAAATTAGAGTTTTTATGGCGTGTGATGGCTCACAACAGTTTATGCCGAATGTCGTAATTCAAATTGCAGCATTCTAAAATGAATATTTCCAGCCAGCCACTGTGCTACTAACTGATCTGGCATGTTACTCAGTAAGTTGTATTGGCATTTGTGGGAGGGTTTTGCAGTACAACATAAGTTCTAAAACAAATTCGTCAAAATGTATAAGACCAAACATACATGTATCACAACAATGATGGAAAAATAGAATATCAAAATATATTTAAGCCAATATGACAGTGGTCAATATGGGGAGAAGAGATGGGGGGGGGGGGGGGGGTAACAGAAGAGACATTAGTGCAGATATGTGGGGAAGGAGGGGATAAGGAAGGTAGGGGGGTAGATAGGCATGGAAATTAAGGGAAAAAAAAAAAGACGGGGGAGAGGGACAACGGGAGAAGAAAAAAAATGAATGAAGTTGAGAAAATAGAAGGGAGGGAATAACCTGGCATGGTTCATTCTGTTATTACTCTTTGAAATGCGGTACATAAAAGTTACTGGAATAGGAAGTGCCTATCGCATTTTATGCACACTGGTCAATAAGACAAAGAGCAAAAATCTTTCTTCTGGGTTCAGTATAGTAAACCAGGTTGCTTTAAAATACTACATTTTGTATTTCAGCTTTGTTGGATAAACTTATTACATATGTTACGAAAATAGGAACTTTAAACTACACTTCTTCCTGAGAAGATGGAGAAGCTGATGGAGGGGCCTACATCATTAAACAGCATTCTGAGATAACTGTAAAGCAAACCTTAGCTGGGCATAAAGTTCTCTTTTATAGCATCGGGCACAAGCTTTCTATTTCAGTTGTGCTTGTAGTGTAACAGCTGGGCCCTGATGGAAGTCCTCTCTCTTTTCTTTCCTTAATGTTTAGTGTAAAAAACTAAATATATATATATATATCTGTGTGACTTGCAGGTCTTTGCTTAACTCACTGTTGTACTTTCCCAGGAACAAGTTTGTGGAGTTTGACATGAAGCCTGTCTGCAAGAAATGCTATGAAAAGTTTCCTCTGGAGTTAAAGAAAAGGCTTAAGAAGCTCTCGGAAACCTTGGCAAGAAAATAAGTACATCATTCATGTGTGCACCTGAAGATGGGGGAGCAGCATACGATGTGCTAGTCAGAGGAGAATTGGTCATACATCCTACTTGACGTTGTTCTATTCACTGAGGCTGTTACATGCACTAACCTTCACTGCAAACATTTATCTGCATGAAAGCTGCATTAATGTTGCCTTGCATAGGCTGTTTATTACCTCACCTTATTTTCTAAATAACAAACTATATTTCTTTTGTGGTACTTTGCTTGCTTTGTTCTGTAAGCCAACAGATCACAGCAAGTGAAAGCAAAATTATTTGCCATTCAGTAAGATCCACATTCTGTTTTCGGCTACAGAGGAATACTGCATATCTCTGCATTCTCGAAGTTGTCCAGGAACAGAGTAATGACAAGAACTGTAGACTGGTTGATGTTCCATGGAAGCCTAGAGAAACCGTGTTTGGAGTAAGCACTTAAAAATCCTGTGCCTCCACACTGTGGGGGCTGAAGGATTATTCCCTATAGTATTAGCAGGACACAGGCAACAGTCCTTTCAGAACCCCTTATGCAGGCCATACGTGGGTCGAATTCCGAACGATTTTTCGTTCGAAAATCGAAAGCATCGTTTTCTTGGTAATCCAATGGTGCTATCAATGATTTTGCAAATCGGCCGACCAAATCCTAAAGTTCACCCCATATAGCAGGAGAAACTTCTGTTCCTTCCAGGTCACGGCTCATGCACATATTCTTTTCGGAAAAATGATCGTACAATTTCATGATCATTGAGTCGAAAATCGGTCATTTTTCACGAATTTTCCAACATGCATAATTATCGAAAAGGGGAGGAACCACAAAAATCGGCCAGTGCCATTGACCCAGTAACAGAGTTAAAATCGGCCGATTGTTCTTAGGTCCGATTTTGTTGCCATCTAAAATGGTCACTTAAAGATGAACTCCAGAAACTCATTTTTTTGTAAAATGTGCTAGATTAGTAGGGGTTAAGTCCAACAAGGTGCATGCCACCTTGTGGAATTAACTCTGTAATTTTCAGTTTACATTTTTTCGGAGTGCCTGGAGCATAACTGTCATAATGCTTCCAGAGCTCCGAAGCTGAACCCTCTGGCCTCAGCCCCTGAGGCTGCAGAGTCGCATGCAGCTGCTTTACGTTAATGCATAGAATGCAATAAGGTATAAAGAACCTGCCTTTAAAACCACGTTAAAGAGATGTGGCATATACCTCGTTGGACTTAACTCTCTTAGTATGTCAGCACATTTTACAAAAGTGGCTTAATTCCTGGAGTTCAGCTGAGCTTCAGGAAGATATCGAAGACACCCTCTAATGAAGGTGCATAATTCTATACAATCCTGTAGATAGAATTTGAAAAGCTGTTGGCGCCTGAAATTTTTTTTTTTTTTTTGGTTGCCTTTAATACACTGCACTTATGAGATGGAGGGCCATGGCTGTAATCGACAGTATTGTGCTTTCTTGTCCAATTTGGAGACAGAAAGGTAAACAAGGTTAACTGCTGATCTGTAATGGAGAATCAGGGGAAAGTGAGGTCACCCACCTGGTTTTGCAGTGTTCCTCAGCTGTCTGCATCGCAGACATGATACAGCTGAACTGAATTGCATCCTTTGTCACTTGATACGGTCCTCATATTTGCATTTCAAGTGTTTTTTTGCCTGGAGTTGAGCTTTAAAAAAAAACTATTATAATTCCATAAATCCCTTAACTAGAAATGTTGCCTATAGCTTTTAAACCAGATGCAGGGTCTGCTGTTGGCTCTTGCCTACCTATCCTGGACATCTCTCCTCTGATAATACCTACCTACAGCAGCTTCTGTTTTCTTCAGGCAACTCTCACTCATTTATTACATGCACAGAGCACGAGCACAACCTGGTGAGTATAGGTGACGGGGGGGGGGGGGGGGGGATGGGGGGAATAGAGGCAACAGTCAGTGGTAGAAGGCAAAGTTGTAAACCCCACTTGGATCTGACCACTGCAATCGCTTCTTCTACTCCTATGTCTATAACCTTTTTTCTATTGGGGTGAAAAGCTTTACATTGGCCACATGCATCTAACTGCCAGCTACATCTGCACAAGTTTGAAATTTGTTGTCCTGTGTGTGGCTGCAACCCTTTGTCCAGAATTTCATAACTAAACAGGTCTGAGCTGAATAGTGAATAAGTAAAACCAGTGTAATGGTTGGAAACCTTCCCTTCTCTATTTCAGCCGGCGACTGGTGAAGTGGGTTGCTGGAGAGGAATAGTTTGTCAAGTTGCCTAGTATTGGAGAGCTGCTATTGAATACATTCTGTTGTCCAAGTTAAAGGAAAATATAGTACCATTTTTAATGGACATATTCGGTGGTTTCAATAGCTTAAAAAAATTAATTTTTTAAAAACTAAATCAGAGTTCTTTAAATGATTTTGTAAAGTATGCTCAAAAGAAGCATGCTGTCTGCATTCTGGACTCAACTTGCACAACCAATGCAGAACTAGTGCCTTTGTCCAAGTGAGTAGACAGCAGATCCATCTCTGCTCACAGCAAGAGTAATATCTTAAAAGGGAACCATGGAATGTAACTGATGCAGGGCAGCATCTAGAACTACTTGAATTTCCCTCTGGTGCTTTGCGACCAGTTTCTTACAGAACATGTGTCATTTACATTGCTTAATGTTTGTTTTGTGCCTTAAATCTTATTTCAGCCTAACATGTGACATATAATCACATATGTATTTAAACATATATATATATGAACTTTGAGCTTTTCATAATGCATCCTACTATGCAGTAAACACAACACTGTTCATTCCTAAGGCAGTGTGCTTTTACTTTAAATATATGAAGTATTTTTATTGCAAATTATACTACTTATTTAGTCGTGAATCAAAAAATATTACTTAATCTGTACTTTAATGCATATCCTGATGAATTGACGTAAAAAAAAAGTATCAATCTATTGAATCATTTGCTAGAAAGCCAGTCTTGCCAATCCTGAGCTGCCATGTCAAAATTTCGATCCATGTAGGGTTGACCTTTGAGGCACTCCAGCAGATAGGGTACCTGTTGAGCGACTGGGTCAGATCATAAAAATCTGCCTGCTCGGTTGTGTCTATGTGCACCATAAATACTAGATGTAATACTATGAATGTGCTTTTCTTTGTTAAGCAACAAGTATCCTAAATTGGCATTCAACACTCTGTTGCCCATTGTTTGTTCATGTGCAGTTGGCTGTGGTATGCTGTGCCTGCAATTTTTATACTCTGCGATATGTCCAAAAATACTGTATTTCAGGCTTTCTTCAATCACAAATTACCTTTTTCTACAACTGCATTATGTTGTGAAGGTAATCTTGTTAAGGGCTGCCTTACAGACGAATCTATTTTTATCATCCTGCCTTTTAAGATGCCCTCAGGTTCTAGTATTACAATTGTAATGTTGGACCTTTTTTTTTCCTCTTTTCACAAATCGAATAAAGTCTATACTCTGTCATCTTGTGTGTTTTTTGTTCATTTATTGTATTAATACTACTTTTGAATTTCTTGAAATGCATGATTGTTTTAGGGCACATGACTCAAACACGAGGCTCTCACCTTGTCTCAGCAGTTGGCAACAGAGAGGACAGAACTCCTCACAGATCCTATACCACTCTGTGCAACCCATTTTAGGGGATTGAGAAGCCTGAAGCCATTGGGGTCAATAAAACAGCCAAGGAGCTTGCATGTTTAGAAGGAGGTCGGGAATGTAAATCCCCTTATTTTTTTTTGACAGGTTTGTTGTAAAGAAAGCCAGTCACAATATTGCTTTTATGTATGGATCTGAGTATTCTGTTTTTATTATAAAACTGCAGTATTACCCATTTATTTTTTCCCCCTTATTTAGCTTTATTTACTTTGTTCAAGCCTGACACTTTAGCTAGAGGGTCAAGATTGTATGAAACCCTACAGTTGCTGAAACACTAAACACCCTCAGCAGATGGCAGTATGAGATCTGGCAGTTGACAGCAGCTGGTATTTTTCAGGAGACCCCTGACTGTCTCCTTGTACTGTACATTGTAATTGTATCCCCCCTTATTTATATTCTGACAAATTCCAAGCCAACACACACGTTTTTCGACAAGTTACTAAATTGGTTACATAAATAAAATGTTACTGCTGGTTTCACTAATACCAAGGTGTAAGTAAAGGCAAACCAGCACACAGCCTAACTAGAAGAGGGTGTATAACTTTAGCAGGTTGCAGAAAAGATTTGGCACTCCTACTGACAGGGTTGCTTTAAATCCCAGCTTCAGGAAAATGAAGAAAAAGAATCCATACGTGCAGTGGGGCCCCCTGCACTCCAATTGCTGAATGATCATTGCAGAGCAGGCTGTATCATTTACCTATTTTCCCGTTCCAGTGCCCTCCTTCTGCCCATAGCTCTGGTCTGTTGTGCATTAAGGTACAGAGCAATAAAAAAAAAAAAAAAAAAACTAGCAAAGATTGTAATGCTTACCTGCTTTATCCTAAACAGATTTGGATGGCGGTTTACTTTTATAGTTACTCTCCTGTCAAAATTAAAATACAGAAGTGGACATTAACCACTTGCCCTCCAGAGGATTTACCCCCCCCCCCCCCCTTTCTGATTAGGCCATATTTTGCGATATGGCGCTGCGTTACTTTAACTCATACAGTGGGGCAAAAAAGTATTTAGTCAGCCACCAATTGTGCAAGTTCTCCCACTTAAAAAAAATGAGAGAGGCCTGTAACTGGCATCATAGGTAGACCTCAACTATGAGAGAGAAAATGTGAAAAAAAAATCCAGGCAATCACATTAGCTAATTTGGAAAGAATTTATTTGCAAATTATGGTGGAAAATAAGTATTTGGTCACCTACAAACAAGCAAGATTTCTGGCTCTCACAGACCTGTACCTTCTTCTTCTTTAAGAGGCTCCTCTGTCCTGCACTCATTACCTGTATCAATGGCACCTGTTTGAACTTATCAGTATAAAAGACACCTGTCCACAACCTCAAAACAGTCACACTC